CTCAACACAGCAACAGCTGAGTACAGGAAATTCGCCAGCGAGCCCTAGTCGTTATTGTGGGCGTCGAGCTCCTAGTCTACTATCGAAATATTTCTAGGAACTAGTTACAGCGGTACGTTCAAAAATCGGCCAGGTCTCGCCGTAGATGGAGATCGAAGGGCCATAAGTTACCCTACCAGGGTTGTTGGGTTAGATCGGGGGATCCTGTGGTGGCGCTGTAAAGTCGGTTCAGTGAAGTTCAGATAAAGCCGGGGAAGTTATCCGAAAAGACATGTAATTTGAGACAAAATGCAATAGTTTTATAGCTCTGTGAAAGAACAAACGCATGTGTTCAAGTTCTGTAAATGCTGTTTTACAACGTGTCGAAGAGGTTGCACATGTGGTTGTTGATGGGTTTTCAATTTCGGATGATTTTGAGGAAAACTCGAAGTTGCCGACCGTAGGCGTCCGCTCCTCCAGGCGGGGTAAATGGGGTGAGTGCGAACTGCAGAGAGATATTTTATAATCGAAACAAACCCGACAACTGTTTCGTCGTTTTCATTTCACTGACGAACACTTTGAAGAATTTGTTTGTTGGAGAAAAGTTTTCGTCGTGATTGCCCGGCGCTGTACTGGCGCAAGTGAGAGCTGTTCTACTGAGTGGGGGTGATTACAGCCGAAAGAAAAGCTGTTCGCAACGAGTGATGTGGTAATGCAGTGATGGCAATGTGGAAGGATATCACGCGTTTAGTATCGTAGGACCGATTTATGACGCATCTTAGGGATTCCGAAGATTTGGGAGGTATTAGGGACATACACATGGGTGACCTGCGGGCCCAGGGGTTGAACTGGAGTAATAGTTCACGCAAAAGTAGCGTACTGGCCTGTTCCCTTCCGATTTCCGCGATTTCTGACGGCTCAGATTGCCTCGGAAGTTGCTGGTTTTCAACAAAAATACTATTTGAAGGCGATTTTCAAGACAATCCAAAGAAGTAACATTAGATTTAGCAGTCAGTTGTTACATTTTGTGGTGCTGGACTTATGGGACAAGGATATGGGATATGGAGGTAGTGGGAGGTAGTGAGTTTTCAGGTGAGGTAGTGAAGTTTTCAGATTCTTGGAATTGCCAGTTTATGGTTTGAAATCTCTTCCTTGGTTTGGAAATGTCGAGCCCGAAATAGGATACGTTCCTTTCAGGACGTCTAGCTGCTCCCTCATAGTTGGGATCAGGGTCAACCGTGACGTTCGCACCTTTTTAAAAATTTCACGAACCCAGGGGATCTCGATGCCACCCCCCACCAACACCAGGAGACTCAGGATGCTCCCCCTATACGATCCCCATTCCTCTATCCTTCCGATGACATACAAAATCCCTCAAAAAACCATTCACCCAACAAACTACTGATCCCACTCAACCCCTGAATGCGACCCCCCCCTCACCAAAACCAACCACAAATGCGACCCCTCGTTCGAATAGTGCGAACGCACGGTTGACCCATTGGTGGGATGGGGACTTGCTGTACCATGAAAACGTACATGTATTCATGTGCTGTTGTTGGTACAGAATTGTGTTAGGCCCTCTAGATTCCTTCTTAGGATGCGCCATGCATAGTACTTCCATTCAGAATCGTAGAGCCGTTTGAATGCAAATTTGGCCTGTGCAATGATTTCCATTACCAAAGTTTTTGTGCTCTCAACGGGTTTGGTATCAGTTCGTGTCCCCGGATGGGTAAAGGGTTTGATTGGCTTTAAGTGAAAACTGGTTTTTGATTTGGCCGCTTACCATTCGATTGGTTAGAGCGTCCTTTCAGAACCACTCCAAGATAAAATACCGTCTTGTAGGTCGGCCAGCCTTTGCGATGCCAATTTAGAAACTTCGACTGTGTGAGCAATTTTTGGGTACCCCCCAGGAGGCCCGTCGCGCGGCAAGAATGCCGAGTCAGCGGACGAGTTGCGCGCGTATTAGGGAAATCGCGTCAAGTTAAATAGAATGTCCCATTGCACGTCCTTCATCGCACATCACGCGCCGCGACTCGTCCGCCGACTCGGCCTTCTTGCCGCGCGATGGGCCTCCTGGGGGGTACCCGTTTTTAAGCAGCGCATTGCCAACGATTTGCTGATAAAATTCGAGATGAAGCGGCGTGTGCCAAATGTGGTAAGATTACTCGCCACTGTGGTATGTGAATCCAGGAATTGTGAACGAATTGCATGCAACTGCAGTGGCATAAGGTCATTAGTTTCGGTTGTGGCGGCGATTCGGGAGCGCCCCATATGTTTTTGCTGTGGCGATCAGTGCATATGCCGGCTGGTGTCTTCTTATCAAAGGCCGTGCGTTGTGGCGTTTCGTCGGTTTTTTGATATGCGTGTAACGAGATGAATTGCAACGCATGTTGCGATTTTCGTAGAAGCACGCCGGCCACTGATTTCCCAATTGTTTCTCAGTAACTGCGAGGGATATCAGCGGATTAAGTGGGTATCAACCAAAGGGTCTGCTAGAGGAAGTAGTCCAAGTGGTGTTGTCTTGTTTACTAGCTGAGTATCATCGCAATGCAATTTTTTTAGTAATAAGTAAATGTGAAGTCTGTTCCACTCCAACACATCATTCAATCCCCGGGGGCGAAAAGCGTCTTGCGAAATCTGTACATAGTCCAGGGCTTTACAATAGCAGGTGGGTTTGGGGTCCGTGGGACGGGTGCTCATGCAGCTTTATAAAGTTTCCGCAAGCTTTCAATTTGCTGGGTCTGTAACTTGTCCCCCTTCCTTAGGACACCCCCTCCTTTAGACCATGTAGTCCACAATGGTACGAGCGGTTAAACATTTATGCGTCAGAGAACTTCATGGAATATGACGTCATCGAGAACTGGAGAAAGGTTCTCTTTTAATAGCCTAGAGTTCATCACGGTGATTTAAAGGCCCGTCCAGTCAATAAATCACGATTTCAGGAGCAAGTTGTTTGTGTTTTAAGTTTTATTTTTCGCTTGACAAAAACAATCGATCGAGAGAAGTTTGTCAATGAGAGAGGGATTGACTCAGAGAAAACGATTGGTTGATTAAGATTGATTATCAATTGACCCTGTCGCGATTTGATTAGCCGACCGGATTCCCTGAACTTCAATCCCGGTACTTATCGGAAAAACTGGCTAGGATTTGAATTCAGGCAAATTGGAAGGCTTTTGCTACCTGCTTTTGAGTAGTTATCGATTAGATGTCCGTCGAAATGTTCACAGAAGGGTTTTGAACTTGTCCGATGACTGTAGAGGTTGTGCCCGTGAAAGGTAGGAACGAAGAAACCAGTTTATTTCTAGAAGTTCGCTACTGTTCAGTTGAACTGATTGAGAGATAGATGACTGAATTGATTTTCAATCACGAAATGGCCGTGAAATGATGGAAATTTTCTATCGGTGCTATATAAAATGCTAGGAACGATAGGGCTAAGTACGAAGGCCAAGAGAGAGCGATCTCTGAACAACGGCGAAGGTATCAAGTGTGGCATGTTCCTAATTGGATGCTGCCGTGGTTCTGGGATTGCTCGAGTACTTTTTGAAGTTTTCGCGATAGTTTTGAAGAATCAGTTCAGGCAACAAGAATGTGGTCGTGTAGTTCAAGGCCTTTGCCACGCCTCGTGATCAGTCTTTTGAGTCCGACAAAAGTGTTAAACGTCATTGAAATTGCAACTGATCAACCGGGGTTAGGAGGAGAGAGGGGTTCTGGATGGCTGGGTGAGAGAAGAGAGAGAGTGTGTGTGCATCAAAAAATATTAGATAAAATTGAAAAAAAAACTTTCATAGGGAGCTTGTTCTCCTTCGATTCTGCTGCCTGCCCTGACGGAGTTCTTTTATATTCTGCGGTTGACTGCCGAGAGTCAAGCAATTCGGAACCACAGTTGTCACCTAATTTATTTTCTTATTTTTGTGTCAAGAAAATTATCAGGACGAATAAATTGAATTTCTCATATAATAGTAAGCTCAATAGAAAATTCTAATGAATAAGGCTCGTAAAATACAATACGATCAGCCGGGAGGTCCAGGTTTTCACTGGCGTAACAAAATGATTAGAAGAATTGAAGAAAAAAATCAACAGGTTGAAATTGGTCGAAAAATTGGTCTACTATCTATATTTCCAGTCGCGATCGTTGCTTGAAAGATATTCTAGTATATTTTTCTTAAAATGTTTTATTTTGTGGTCGCTTTGAATGTTACACTGATAAGATTGTTGTGTTATGTCATGATTAAATTTTGAAACTTTTACATGTGGTTTAAAACCATTCGAATAGTTGATTGATTTGATCAGGTGAGTAATTGACTGTAGCCGTCGCAAGTCTAGCTAACTTTAGTAGGCGTATGTCGGCATTCTTCGCCTCGTCAAGCCGTGATGCAACGCCGCCCGTGACGCTGAGTGCCACCTGCGAAGAGCCTTCCGTGTCACAGAGGCATTGATTCAAGCTATGACGAAGGCGGACAGAAGCCGAACGCCAGCCTAGTAAGCGTTACCTAATGTTGGATGCGTACTAGTAAGGTACAATCTGATCAAAATATGCCAGGATTAAAAGAAAGTCGATCCTGGAAGATTGATTTGAATTTCAGCTACGACCACAAAAGAAACCTGAAGGTTCACCGCTGAACAACGTGCCGAGCAGTCCACAACAAGCCATGAACATGCATCTTGGAGGTAAGTAGGCGACAGTGAGCATACTTTCTCGCCTCAAGGAGAACTGGCAAAACAAAGCCTTTTTCTGTAATCGGAAATTGTCCTACTTGGGCTTGGGAGACGTGCGTTTCTCCTCCTGGGGTCAGGTCACCACAGTTGCGCGATCATTGAAGCTTGAGGTTAAGTTTGGGTTTAGACTTAGGTTAAGGCTTATGCTTACACATTGGCTTATGCCTAAGCCTATGATTGGGCCTAGGCTTAGTCCTAAGCTTGCTCCGAGCGAATGAACGGCGTCTCAATTCTAGGTGACCTGACCCCAGGAGGAGAAACGCTACACACCCCTTGGGCTTCAAGGCTATTTTTGGTATTGTGGGACGTATTGTGAATATTCGGATTTTGATGTTCTACTTATCGAATTCAGTCAGTATTGTTCACAAATTCGTAGCAGTAAAGAAAAAAATTGAACATCCGTAGTAAATAATCACGCAGTACATTCTTGGGTTATCTCGCTATGACGATCTCAAGGAGACGTGATCGTTTGAAATCCTATAGCCTTGCCCCTAACTTCAAATTTGCAACTGGATTTTTACTGATACAGTATGCCCTTGATGGCCGCAGTGATGGTGTAGTGGTAAATGCGCTGTTTGTGATGCGTCCAAAGTGGTGGTGAATTAAATCCCAGATCGAGTCCCACAGAGACTAACCGAACTACTAATGCTTTGAGATTGATGATAACGTACCATATTCATGTGATATGATAAAAGGGTAGCTTGCACATAGGCTAACCCGACAAGTTATTGTATTGGTCAAATCGTATCCTAAGCACCCACTTTGCATTGAATAGAATGCTCGGCATCGCAAAGGAGGATTGGTTCTTGCTGGGTGTTTCATACTTCCCTTTCAAGTTCAGTGAAGAGTTTTCTTCTTGGCAATCGATGAATCCCTCCTTATCAATCAATGGGATCAGATGATAAGTATAATGATACGTCTGTGGAGAGCCGTCTATCTTGTTTTTCATTCTTGAGTTAGTCAATGGAATGATTTTCTTCATTATTTTCCTCACCGTTTCAGGTGCGTTTCCATTCTCGCTGGTGCCGTCGACGTCGACAGCATCATCACAGGCGTCGGTGATCATGAGCTCTTCGGACTCAGCACGCGACGATGTCACGCCACCGGCTGGAAAGCGGATTAAGACGGAAGAGGATGAGGAGAAGTCTGCGAGGTAATCTTCCATGGAGTACTTTCTTTTACCCATTTTTTCGAAGCTTTGAGAAGCGACTACCGTATCCCCGGTACGAAATGCCCTTCCAAATTTGTACTTCGACACGGTCGTTGTTCATGGTGTGATTGGTTCTTTTTAAAATGGGGAACACTTATTCGATATGTCCAGTTGATTCGAAGAGATTGACAGGCTTTTATGATTAGAAGAAATTTTTCGTCATAGTGGCGCCAAAGGACGGCCGTGTGCAGCCGCGCCAGAGACCAACTGTTTTAGAGACGTGATCGCTACATTTTGTTGGTAGTGAATAATATGTCAAGGGAAAACGCTTATCAGGACGCTGCGAAAAGCAGTAAAATAGTAATTTGAAAGTGTTCTCTGATGATGTGATAAGGGACACGTTGAAATTTAATAGCGATTGCTGAGGGTTTTAAGGTAGAGGGTGTAAATGTGAGGGTGCAGAAGATAAGCCAGGTGTGCTGTTGTAGGTAAGGGGGTTCTTTATTGATTGGTCTACTTGGATTGGGTAAAGGAACTCACCATCAGTTCCCGAAGTGTTAAGTTCCTTCGTGTTCAAAAGCTAGATCCAGATTTCCAGGTGGCATAGCGCTGCAATGCAAGCCCTTGATTCCGCAGTCTTCTTCTTCTTCTCGCTGCGTAGTCCGCGCGCAGTCGCAGTCCGCTGTACTTAGTTGTACAGTCGTCCGCCACTCTTAAGTCTGCGCAGGGCGTCCTCTGGTTTATTTTTCTTTTTTTATTGGGCCTGGGTGGCCATGACTTCACTTAGATCCTTCTTGATCACATCTCTCCACCTCTTCTTTGGGGCTCCTCGCGGTCGCTTGCCTTGCACTTCGAAGTCCATCGCTGTTCTTATCGGATGATCCTGTGGCCTCCTTAGCACATGCCCATACCATCGCAGACGCTGTTCCCGTACCTTCAGCTGGACAGGGGCAGTCTGCATGACCGCTCTGACATCCTCGTTTCTAACCCTGTCCAGCCGCGTCCAGCCGCAGGCCCACCTCAGCATCCTCATCTCAGCGGAGTGAAGCTGCCTTTCGTGGTTCTTGTTCAGGGGCCAGCACTCGCTGCCGTATAGCATCGCAGGCCTACTACTGTTCGGTACACCTTCCCTTTGAGCGTTCTGGAGCACCTTCGATCGCAGAGGATTCCAGTGGACTCCCTCCATTTCATCCATGCTGCGTTGACCCGAGCCTTCACCGCCTGATCCACACTGCCGTCGGCTGCCAGATCGCTCCCAAGGTAGCGGAAGTCCTCCACTCTTTCGATGGTCTCACCATGGCCGTCTACGATCGGCTCTGCACCCTCTTCGGAGCTCAGGAACTTGGTCTTCTTGACATTCAGCCGTAGCCCGCCTTCTGCCAGGACCTTCTGCCATTGCTGCACCTTGGCCTGTAGTTCCTCTCTACTATCCGCTATCAGGGCGATGTCGTCAGCGTAGAGGATGGTCTTCAGTGGTCCTTCCATGAGGCCCTTCACCATGGTATCGAGCGTTAGGAGGAACAGGAAGGGGCTCAGAGCTGACCCTTGATGCACCCCAACCGTGATGTTTATCTCCTTTGTTAGGCCGTGAGGGGTGCGTATGGCTGCTTTGGCTCCTTCGTACATGTCCTTCACCAGCGAGATCAGGTGTTCTGGCACGTTTCGTTCCCTGAGCGACCTCCATAGCACTGCTCGCGGTAGCCGGTCGAACGCCTTCTCCAGGTCGAGGAAGGCTAGGTAGCAGGGTCGGCGCTTTTCTCGATACTTCTCCATCACTTGCCTTGCGATGAAGATGGCATCCGTTGTAGACCTTTCGGGCATGAACCCGAACTGTTCCTGGGAGATCGGGACCAGCTCCCGCAGCTTCTTATCGACCAGCCGCTCGTACAACTTCATGGTATGCGCAGTCAACTTGATGCCGCGGTAGTTGGAGCAGTCCATTCGCGTCGCCCTTCTGTTTGAAGATGGGGACGATGGTACTTGTCCTCCATGCATCCGGCATCTTTCCTTCCACTGTTACCTTGTTCAGGAAGCTGGTGAGCCACCTTATGCCGTACTCTCCGAGCGCCTTCCATGCCTCGATTGGCACCCCATCTGGGCCAACCGCCTTTCCAACCTTCATCCTCCCAAGTGCACACCTAACCTCATCCTTAGTCCAGAGTGCGATGGGACCAGCTGTGGCCTCTGCCCGTGAGTCGTTCTTGTGGGGGAACTCCTCGTCGGAAGCCCCGTGAAGTACTCTTTTTGTTGTTTTTTTTTTTCTCTTCCCACCTCCTCTTGACTTCGGCTGGCTTTCTTAGGATGACACCATCGCTGCCTTTTACACTTCACCACCCTGATGTCTTGAGTAGCACGATGCCGGGCCTTAGCCAGCCTGAAGACGAACTTCTCTGCGTTTCTGCTTTCCAACTTCTCGTACAAGGCGTCCATTTCCGTGTTCTTCGCCTTGGCGACAGCAGCCTTAGCGAGCCTCTTGCAACTCCTGTAGGTAGCGAGGTCTTCGGGGCTCCGGGTCTTCTGCCAGCGCTTGTATGCTTCCTTCTTCTGCTTCACGACTCGCTGGACCTCCTCGTTCCAGAACCACGCTGCCTTGTCTCCTCTGAATCCACCTCGCGTCTCGCCCAGGACCTCCTTGGCACATCGCAGGATGGTATCAGCCGCGCTGCCCCAAGTCCGCTGTATTGGGCCCGTTAGGATCTGGGAGACCGACTTCCATTATCTTTCGCCTGAGGTCATCCTTCTCCGCTTGGTGCAGCTTCCACCACCGGATTCTCCTCTCGGTTCTTACCCTTGTCTTCTTGGGGAGGTCTATCGCAATGTCTGCCAGGAGGGGCCTGTGCTGGGGAGCCAGATCTTCGCCGGGTAGAACTTTGATATCCTTCACAGTTTTGAGGGTTGATCTTCTTACCAGCACATGGTCGATTTCCGTCTGTCTCCCTCCACTGCTGTAGGTTACCTTCTGAGTCTCCCTTTTCGCGAAGAACGTGCTGCAGATTGCCAGATCGTGGGCTGTAGCCAGGTCCAGAACCCTCTCTCCCTCAGCGTTCCTCGTTCCTATCCCTCTACCTCCGTGCACTCTTTCTAAGCCTCTTCTGTCACTACCGATGTGACCATTCAGGTCACCTGCCATGGTCAGGTAATCATCTTCCGGAACCGATCTTATGGCTTCGTCCAGGCTCAGATAGAACTCGTCCTTATCACTTTCGGGGCACCCGGCTTGCGGTGCGTACACGGAGAGTATGGTCCAGTACCCCTCCTTCGTGTCTATCCTCACAGCCATGATCCGATCGCTGATCCTGTTCACAGCGGAGACATAGTCCTTGAGCGACTCCGCTACCGCTATGGCCACGCCGTTCCGCTTGGTGTCTTCTCCATTGTAGTAGAGCTTGACACCTTCCCCGATTTCCTCTGGCCTTAGCACCTTTCCATCGCGTCTCCTGAAGGCATAGGACTTGGATATTCCTGCGCGTCATCAGATCAGCAACCTCTCGGGACTTCCCAGTTAGCGATCCTACGTTCAGAGTCCCTAATTCGAACTAGCTTCTTTGGCCGAGGCCGTTCACTCCTCGGTAGCCCTCGCATACTGACCACAGAACTCGGGCGGGGGTTCTGCGCGCCACTTCCGGGTGACGTCCTAGCTTTATCACTGATTCCTTTTTCGACTTTAGACATATTTGTTGTGACTGGGGTCTTCATCAGCCGGCCTGTCAACCTGGGCCTGACGCTGGTACTAGAACCATTTTTGCAATTTTTGCAAGGCATGGTTTAGAGCCTCGGCAGGGATCGAACTCGCGGTTTTTCAGAGGTGCAGACATGAGTCTAACCTCTTAACCACTCGGCTATCCCTGCCCTTATTCCCACTAGGAGGGTTTTATATGGCGCATCTAAGTGTGCGCAAAATCGAATTCAATGGTTTACCAGTTGGGCGGTTTCTCTCAAAAATTAGAGGAAATTGTAGGGTTTATAAACCGATGGTGATCCCAAAGGCTGAATCAACGAAGTGTCGGTCCTCCAAAATTCCACGGGTTTTGCAGCGTTCGGGGTTTTGCACGCCCACAGCAGACCGTAGCTGTCAAGGGAACGACCAGTTTCATGGAAGATCGTTGCGATTTCCGTGTCACACTCGGCCGCGAAACAGACTACTGTCAATTTCAATTAGTATGCGACGTGACTTACATTACTACACTGTGCAACTGTAATCCGCAATAAAACCCTGGTTGACTTTGATAGCTGACGCAGCGCTTTGAAATGCTCTGATAAGGAAGGTCTTTGTTGGGAAAATTTTCAATGATAACGAGGTCATCCAAGAGTGATCCTTTGAACCGAACGAGACTTTCAGCTTTTTACCAACCTGGAAAAATAGGGAGTACGGAATGCGTGATTGGAGAAATTGAGGGTGGCAATGTTTTCAGAGAAGCTGCCGCCACAGCGGCAACATCGACCTTCAAATGTAGTGAATGCGACAAAGCGTTCAAAAGTATGGAATTTCTGGAACATCACAAACTCAATCTCGCAAGAAAAAAACAAAAAAAATTTCTTTTTCCTAAAAAAACAAAAAAATTTTTTAGCGGATCTCTCCAGCATGAGTGTTTCTGGAACCCAAATGTACACACACCAACTGCGCCCTAAACTTCCTCCAATAATTGAGTCCCCAAAAATCGAAGTCATAAGAAGGGAGGTGGGAGGGGAGGTGGTCTTACGTTGTGTTTGATGTTCCAAGCGGTTCACTGTAATGGCCAGCGAAAGGGTCCATGGTGAAACAGATGAGGGTGCTCCAATCCGTTCGCTGCGGTTCCCTTCCCGCTCTGGCTTCCCTGACTTCCGTTCTGGAGGAAAATTTAGGGCGGAGTTGGAGTGTGTCACCTACTACTAGGATCAAATTTTACGAAGGTTAGTCAGGGTAGACTTAGCGGAACCATATGTTTTCATCGTTGCCTGTGCCATTAGGTAACAGTATAGGAATTGTGTTAAAAGTCAAGTCAGCTCGAATCAGTTCTAATTTCTTCACTTTTTTCTGCTTACTTCTGTAAACTGAAATTTATTAAATACTTATAAATATGAACCGCTTACTGAGCGTATTTTTTGACAATGAATTTGACAATTTGAGCTTTTCTCGTAAAAACCCGCCCCTCCTATTGATTGATATTGATTTTGCAGATTGCTGACCGGATTGTTGCCACAAGGCTTTCCGTCATTGCCATTCATGCTACCGGGTGGATTACCTCAACAGTTCCAGATGCCCGATATGGATTCCTTGAACGCGATGAATACGGTAGGTTTGATGATAGTTATCGATTGGTTCGACGGTATTATTGATTAATGGATTTTCCAGCCAAAGCAACCGGGTGCAGTGAAACGTCAGTACTCGTCGAATGGCAAGAACTATTGCGATTTGTGTAACAAAGAGGTTGGCTATTCATTGTTTAAATACAGATGGTTTTTTGAAAACGGAGATTAATTAGACGGAAGGAATATTGATCAATTTTTAAACTATTGTAGGTGTGTAACAAATACTTCTTACGTACACATATGTTGAAAATGCACGGCATAGTGATCGATGAGAATAAGACGGTGATCGCCAATATAGATACATTGGAAAAGGAACGTATGGGAACCCTGTCGTTCAGGTAAGGAAGTTTTTTTTTACCCAGCAAGTGTCCCAGAAGTCTGGCACCAGGCACTGCTTGATTGATTTTGACCGGTCTGCTCAGGTGTTGAGATTTTAGAAGTTACAGATGTGATATCTGTCATACGGAGCACAAATCCCGACATCTACTTCGGCAAGCACAAGCAGGATGTTCACGGAGTGGTGCCGCTGTCAACGCCTTCGAATAGAAGTGAGCTTTTTTGGAGTTATTCAGCTATATCAGATTTGATCAGGTGTGCGTCTGGTCGAGGCTATTTTCGGCGAGGGCGAGGGCGTGGTTTCAGGGACTGAACGAGTTTGCGAAGTTCTCTCCCCATAGGAGTGCGACCGGCTGGGGGGTTGGGTGAGGAGATGCCCGTGGCTGATCGGTGGTAGGGGTGTACGGAGATCCCGGGACGCGGCGAGATCGGGAATTTTTTGAAAAAAATCCGCGGACGGTTAGAGCTTCGGTCGGCCATGGGGATGGTTGTTAGGCTTCCAGCTTACCTGGGATACAGTCTTCGGATTATGATGGGACGTGGAGGAATTTCTAGAGTAGGTTTGGTTGTTTGATATGGGACTTTAGCGCGAAAAACTTAATGTGTTCCACAAGTACGGGTCTGTCGAATTTGTGGCACGATCTGGCGAGCGCTGGAAGCTTAAGCGAATGTGATGCTCTTCCAGCGCTCGTACACCCGCCCCACTTCCGTAAAGTCGCCTACCAGGGTTGGTCCTGTAGAGATGGGTTGATGCATGGTTTTTGAGGAATTCTCCCGCTTTTTTCTTCAATAGCGGCTGCGTGCGTTTCCTACTTCTTTTGAGACGATGGGAACGATGTTGATGTGGAGGTACCTTTAAGTCACTATCTGATCGCAGCGCTTGTTCCCACGATTATGGGTGTAAGTGAAGTGCGTGGCGCAATGAGTGATCAGTATCGGACCGTCTTCTTTCAGCAGCATCACATGATGCGATCTTCAAATTACTTGTAAGCATTAGTGAGTTGTATGGCAGGCGGGAAAATAATGAGCAGCTGGTGCTTTTATGTTCTGAACAGGGAACCAGGAAGTGCGCTATGCAATCGGTCGGCTCCACTGTTGCAGGAGAAATCAGTTGAGAAATCGGGGCGAAGGTTGCCTTAGCGTTAAGGGAGTGAGGTTTGGCGGCTCTTTGTTTGTGGGAGGCTTAGCCTGGGTCTGGTTCCACTCGGTTTGTTTGACCGAGTATAGGGTGGTGGAAGGGGAGCGTCATTTACTGCTACAGTTCCTATTGTGGTGAAAGCTGGGCTTTATGAAGAGTATGTAAATTATTGCTTTTCAGAGCCGTCCACTATGTCGTCCCCGGCGATCGGTGGAGGTGGTGCCGTCAGCAGCGATGAGAAGCTCGAGAAGTGTCCACTGTGCGAGCGGCGCATGCCAGCCTCGAACCTTACCGCTCATATCCAAAATGAGCACACCGGAGGCGGTGGAATGTCGATGACGCAGGCACCCCCGGCATCGCCCACGGTGGGTGCGACGTTCTGCCGACCGTTCAGTCAGATGGAATGCATCTGACATCAATCAATCACATACGTGAACTGTGCAACGATTCGCAGCACGTCGCGATACCACGAAGTAAAGTGATTGATTGTTTGCGAAGATATTTCATGTCAAAAGGCGATGAGATCAGCTTTTCTTCAGAAGCGTCGCCGCACGGCAGTGTTGCAGTGCGGCGTGTCAGTACTCAACAGTGGACCGAGGAATTTGAGAATGCAGTGACGGCAGAACGAATGAACGAAAGCGACACGAGAGCGGTGCCGAGCGACACGACCCGTCTGCGGGCAACCGAGCGGCGCGCTGAAAATGATGGTAGCTAATCAGGTTGGTTACCAATTGGAGAGTAGAACTGAAGGTTGCTGGCAGGGTCTTATGAAGCGCGAGGTACTGCTGGAGATTGTTTGGATGCTGGTAGCACTTCGGAAGAATTCGAAAGGGGCTGAAATTTTCTGGAGCACCCATTTGCCTATCCGAACTGGACCGCAGTGCAGTGCTAACCTTTTTCAAGTTGGATTTCAATGGACTGCCATTGAGACAGCGCAGTCGCGCGATATTCTGCGTCCACGGTATCTCCTGGAGCTTATTCTCCCCGATCGCTCTGGCCTGGTGGATTGGGAGTTCGGGGAGCGCGTGGTATTTGGGCTGAAATAGCGAACAGAGGGCTTCAAGCAGTTCTAAATGGTTCTGCTTTGGACCGATAAGCTCCGAGGATCGGTCCCTGCCGGGGAATGCTTCTTTTTGCGTCTCGCAGCCCCTCCCCGCCTCTCTTTGAACTTGTGACGACGTAACCGTCTTGAATATCTTGGCAAGAATCCATCGTTTTTGTATAAATTGAGTACATGGCGCGTTCTAGAGGGCCCTTCAGAGATGGAGACCTTCAGTCGCTCTCCCCTTTTCACCTTGAATATTCGGATGAGTTGTTAAATTTCAGCTCGACACGACGGATACTGTAAAGTGCTCGCTGTGTGACGCCAGATGTCCAGATGAGGCGACGCTGGAAGGCGCATTCGGCCGTTGCCCACAATGGCCTGAATTTGACGGTCAGAAAGGAGAAGAAAGAGGAGAATGACGTCGAGACGGAAAAGATCGCTAACGAGCGAAATAGTCACACGGTTAGTGGGAATCCCTAGTTGATTATAGTTGATTTTTCCTAGATTTGGTCCAAAATGTGGCCATGCGCAACTTCTGAGACAGAATTGTCGATTTCAGAGCGGCTCGATGTCACCATCAGGCGAGTCACTGCCTGAGGGCTTCGGCAAGCCGGACAGCGGGTCCTGCGACGAGAAGCACGTGATGCAGTCGTTTGTGCTGCGCTGTACGGCGGACGCTTCGGGCGCTTTCCTGTCGGAAATGATCGCCCATTTGCCGGTCCGAACGCTACTCTCACAACCGACGCGGGTCTCATTCGAGTTGGTGCCACATCAGGTGTCCAGCGACTCGAATCCGTTCTGAATTGCTGCTGGTGGCGTACCCAGAGTAACCTCACATCACATCACGTCTGAAGTCTTCCAGAGATCTTTCGCCGTCCCCGTCCTCACCCTCATCGTCACCGTTCCTTTCCCCCGCCAAGACGCGTGCAATAGGGCTGTGTCCCTCCTACCTGAAACGAGTATCTTCCCAGAAATCCTCATATTGATTGATTAATTGATTGATTTTACCCGCATCTACCCCGTAGGCGTCATTGTCGTCTTCATCTCGTCGTCGTCGTCGTCGTCGTTAGTGTGTCTCTCTCTCATGCGCTCTATCGTGCTTACTATGTATGGTGCTTTGTTGTTGTTGTTGTTGTCTAGAAAGAGAGCTGTGTTGTCACCTGTATATTTGTTTTATATGTAGACGACGTCGAGCCACAGCATATTTCCCAATTTTACTGGCCAAAGGTTCCTTTCGTTGATTTTTTCTCATCATTAGAAGGGCTAGTAGTACTAACGGTCTTTATAGAGAGCAAGAACGAAAGAATGAGAGAGCAGAGAGAACGAGAGAGCCATAGTTCCTTCCTTTCTTCTTCCCTGTTGAGCAGATCCTGCCACAAGTGGTGTTTATAGTGCGCGCGTTGTGTAATCATATCATCAGATGTAACCTCAACCAGTTACTTTATCAGTTGATGTCTTTAAGTGTTAGGAATAGCTACCATATCTCTTGTGCACCACTGGTTACTCCCCTGTAGAACTCAAGGTGTCAGCCAGGTCTATAGAGTGATCTTAGCAAAAAGCCACCCTGAACTGAAGCATACCTTGCCCATCTCTTTTTTCCGGAAC